TTTATAATAATCATAAAATGGATTTTAGATCGTCTCTGTGTGTTTTTCTTGGCTATAAGTCTATTCATCATGGTGATCGATGCCTTGACTTTGAAATTGACATAGTGTATATTGCGCGACATGTACACTTTGACGAGAACACCTTTCCTTTTCATGCTCCTCCGACACAACCAGAGACTCCCATGACCATTCTCCGCTCCTCCGACACAACCAGAGACTCCCATGACCATTCTTCCGTGGCTGCGTCATCGTCTGAGACCCCCCCTACGCACCTTCCTCTGGTGCAGCTCCACCCGAACCCCTCGACATGCCCAATGCTGTCGACTGTTCTGAGGGCGGCTCGACACTACCTCCTCTCTCGGCTCAGCCACACGACAACCCTTCTGGGCGGGTCGTTGACACTACCTCTATAGTTAGTCCATCTCATTCCCCCGACACTTCCCAAGTCAACTCCGACCCTTTGTCTCCTTCCCCTTTACATGTTGCTCCACCTGCCCTCCTGCCAAAACTCACCCAATGACCCTCCATTCCAATCCTAAACAAAAGGTAATATTTTCCCCTTCGGCTTCCCTCACTACCGTTGCCCATACACATACTGAAATGGAATCAACGTCCCTTACTATTGCTAATAAGAGTGTTCAGTGGCGTAGGGCTATGGCTGAAGAGTACTAGGCCCTTCTTCGGAATGGCACTTGGTCTATAGTACAGTTTATGGCTTTTATGAATGTTGTTGGTTGCAGGTGGGTATACAAAATCAAACGAAATGTTGATGGTTCTATTGGGCGCTATAAAACGCGTCTTGTTGCGAAGGGCTTTCATGAACAGCCGGGTCTTGACTATGAGGAAATGTTTAGTCCGGTTGTAAATCCAACGACCGTTCAAACTATTACTTCTCTTGTGGTCTCTCAGGGATGATCTCTTTGTCACCTGGATGTTCAGAACGTTTTCCTACACGGATCCTTGACTGAGACTATGTCTCAACCTTTGGGTTTTGTGGATCCTGCACACCCGGATCATGTTTGTCTTCTTTATTGTTCTATCTACGACCTCAAGCAAGCCCCTTGGGCGTGGTTTCACCGCCTTTCGCAGGCCCTGCTTTCCCACAGGTTCACTGATTCCAAGACTAATTCCTATTTGTTTATCTATGCTCGAGGTACGACTAAGCTATTTATTTTAGTTTATGTCAATGACATCATTATTACAGGGAATAGTCCGGCTCATATATCCCATGTTATTGCGGTCTTATCCTCTGAGTTTTCCCTCAAGGACTTATGCTTGTTACTTATTTCCTTGGGATTGAAGTTGTTCCTCATGGCTCTGGGTTAATTCTCTCCCAACAGAAGTGTATTCGCGAGCTTTTTCAGCGGGCTGGACTCGTCGACTCCAAACCCATGTCTACCCCGCTATCTACCTCTATTTCCTTGTCCAATATGCTTGGTTCGTTATTCTTCGATCTGACAAAGTATCGGCAGGTTGTTGGTGCCCTCCAGAATGTTACTCTTACGCATCCTGATTTGGCCTTTGCTGTCAATAAGGTTTGCTAGTTTATGCACCAACCTACTGATGACCACTGGTTGGCAGTCAAGCGAATCCTTCGACATTTTCGAGGAACTTCCTCTCATGGTCTTTATTTTCGCCGCGACTCTCCACTTTCCCCCGAGGCCTTTTGTGACTCAGATTGGGCGGGATGTCCCGATGATCGCAAATCTACGGGAGGTTTTGTGATATTTCTTTAAAGCTAACTTGATCTCGTGGACTTCTCGGAAGCAGCGCACTTTCGCTCGCTCCTCCACTGAGTCAGAATATAAAGCTCTTGTTGATACTGCCACAGAGCTCACGTGGTTACAGTCCCTTTTCCGAGAACTTGGTTTTCCTCTTCGCTCCTCGCCAACTCTTTGGTGCGACAATCTTGGGGCTACTTGCCGCCAATCCTGTCTTTCATGCTCATACCAAACATGTTGAGATTGATTTTCACCTTGTTCAGGAGAAGGTAGCATGTTGTGATCTACAGGTCCAATTTATCTCTACTCATGATTAGCTTGTGGACATTCTTACTACGCCGTTTCCGACTCCGCGCTTTGATTTCCTTCGGTCCAAGCTGCAAGTTGTTCCCTGCCTTTCGCTTGCGGGTAGTATTGAGATAAATATTATGTCCTAATGGTAATTTCACATGTGCTGTAATTATCCCTAATTAGGGTTTTGTATAGATGGTACGTATAGGGACCTTGTATCATATCATTGTTCAATCAATAGAGGAAATATTTTCAATTTTGACTTTATAGTGTCCCATCATCACAATGTGTTAGCTCTAATATTGAGGACCTCATATCTAGTTTCCCAAAATTGGCACATCCTAACATTCCTTTGCCATGGGTATGCTTAGTTTTCAATCTCTGATGATAATATCAAGTGTTGCTCTTTAGCTCATTCACTTGCTTAAATCTTTCTTAGTTTGCCTCTTATGAAGTCTTTTCTTCACGAGCTTTTTCATTGATCTTGGGGACCATATGTCTGGTTACCCAAATTGGCACATGCAAATGCAGAATTTTAGTCAAATCATTTTGAGTTGAGTTTTGGACTTGAATCTTTCTTGTGTAAAACCTTACTATTTAAGGCTTCCGAGAAACTTTGACATTATGAACCATGCTGTTAACTGTGTAATATTTGTTTTACGATGCAGATGTTAGATTTTATCATTGCATCATTATTTTCTTGTTTATTCTTCTAACGTTTGTTCATTTCTTTCCTCGAGTTACTAATCCCAAGATGCTTTCAAGTAATCTATTAAGCTTTCTAACCTATTATCTTCAGACATTTTTGGATGGGCTTGAAGCTACAGAAACTCTGGAGAGACATTCAGGCGTAGGACAGTCCCTAGATATCGAACCGGTATGCATTCCCTAGAAGAGATTATGTGCTCCTTTCTTGTATTGAAGATACTTTGTGTGATCATTTAAACAGAGACTTGTTTCTTTCTTCTGTTGTAGCCTCTACTTATGCAGGTTCGCTTGTTTTATGATGGCACTGTTGTGAAAGGAACTCTCCTAGTAAATAAACAGGTATATTCTTGGGTTAAAATCAAATGTGATGGTCATGCTAGTTCAATAAATTTAAATAATTGTCTTCTTCTCTAGGACTATTGATAGCATAAGCAACTGTGGACTATATCAAGTAATAAATATTGATTGCATTGAAGACCAAGGCATAATATTTTAAAATATAATTTATAAAAAAGAATATTTATAGCCTTTTTGCTAAAGTATGTGTGCTGTAGTAATGTGTGGGAATTTAGGATAGCTGAGCCAAGGTAAGTGTCTCCTTATACACACTAACAACAGAAAAACATTTTTAGGGGTACGAAACTATTGAAGTCATTGTTTTGAATAAAGCATCTGAGTCCCTTATGCCGGCCTATGTCCTGGAAGCCTTTTATTCCTTTAACAGATAAGGGATAATTTCAATAAATCCCCTTCATTTGTTCCTACTTTCTGATAATTTCAATACCACCCTAAGTAGTGCAGTTCTCCTTGCAAACTAAGGTAAGATCCTTTAGTTTATTGAAAAAATTTGGAAGTATTGGATGACAACTTTATTCTTATGCATACTGTTGAGAGTTGTTTCTTTGTGTGTGTGTGTTTAGTCCCACATTTTTGTTAGGGACCTTTTTGTGTTTATGCTCCTATAAATAACATTCAAGAGAAAATTAAGTATGCTCTCTGATTACCCTTTCCACATGGAATTAGAGCCACATACATAAAGGATCCCTCATCTTCTAAATCTCAGCCCTCCACTCAAAACCCTAGCCTTCCTAACCTAAACCCTAACTCAAACCCAACATCTAGTTCACTGTCAGTTCGCTGCCGCCGCCTCTGCATCAGTCCGCCACCGCCGCCACCTCTGAATCAGTCCGCTGCCGCCTCTGACTCAGGTCGCTGCTGTCTCTACTTCAGTCCGTCGCCGCCTCCCCTCAAAACCCTAGGCATCAAACACTGACCCTAACCCATTCAAACCCTTAATCTAGCTCCTTAACCCTAGCCGCCAGCTTTAAAAAAAATTGTTTCAGATCTGTAGGTTCTAGATCCGAACAGTTGAGGATGGTTTGATTGCTTGTTGGCATGATTGCTTGTTGATGGTTTCATTGGCTGTTGGCGTGATTTGTTGTTGATGATTTGATTGATTATTATTGGCGTGATTGCTTGTTAGAGGTTGATTTATTTATTGGGTTTGCTTGATGAAGCTGAGCAGTGTCTGACAACATATTGATAACTTTGTTTGCTGGAAGATAACTTGTTAGATGATCTTGTTTGTTTTGTTGATAGTGTCAGGCGGTTTTGTTATTTCGGTGGAAAAGAGGGTTGAGACGAAGACCCACACGGAGATCCTGTCTAGCAAGATCACTGACTAGAAACTGAATATGTCCAATTAATTGCTTTGAAAGCAACTCATTCGAGTCTATGTTTCTAGTGGAGGAAGGACCATCATCTTACTGATGATCCCCCATTCTAGTTACCGCATCCTGGAAATAAAATGACACCGGTCTCCTTCATTAGATTTGGAATAGCATGGAACCACGTGTCATTTAGCTAGTGATTCACCGTAATATAGTATGTGTGAAAGTTTTGTAGCAATTATACTAAGGACATGGGCACGCCAATTGGGCGTATGATGTTATTCATGAGTTGTTTCAAAGCAAGATTGATTAGCTAAGTTAGACTTTCAAGGAGTACTATGGTAATTTCAATTGCCCGACATAGGAGTTGAGGCAGATTTTCCTTATTAAAAAGGGATGTTCAAAAGAGACAAAACCAATCGTATCAACTATCAGCTAATGATACTCACCTTTCTCGGATCTCTTCCACTGTCATTTAATTTAGCACTGCCATAGTTTATTGGGGGCTCCATTATACGCTCCTTAGCAGAGACATTATTTTTTTAGATCAGCAGCTTTAGCATCATTAGTGAGTAACACAACCGAGTCTGTATACGGGTTTGCTCTTGCCACACAGAGTAAACCGTTGACTAGTCGAGGTGGCAATGGTGGAGGCTATATTGGTGGGCTTGGAGGACGCTTTGGAGCAGGTAGAGGACGAGGTGATAGTTTACGAGGAGTCATAGGAGATACTTTTTTCACTGTCACTACTGCAAGGAGCCAGGTCATATGAAATCCCATTGTCTTAAGTTACAAGAAAAATAGTCTCGGAGTGCGCATGTTCTCAGTTAGAGGTAAAATAGCCTTGGAGTGCGCATGTGGCTGCTCGAGAGTCTCATAGATGATGAGACCCGTCGCCAGCTTGAGCAATTTCAGTTTAAGTTACAATTTTCTCTTGTTACAGCTGCACTTGCCTAGGCAGGTACACACTGCTTGTCTTACATCATCATCATGTCGTACTTGTAGATTCAGGGGCAGCGATCATATGACTGGGAACTAAGGAATATTCTCCTGCACATCTACCACCTCTTTTTCTTCAGTAGTATTAGATGATGGTTCCACTACACATGTAGAAGGTGTTTGATCTACCAACATTAGTCCTATCTCACTTTTATCTATCCTATATCTTCCTTGTTTTTTATTTAATTTTATCTGTCAATAAGATTACTAAAACATTAAATTGCACGGTAACATTTTTTTCATATACATTGTATTTTTCAGACACTTGGGATGAGAAAATACGATTGTTACAAGACATGAGCGGAATGTCTTATATTAGTTGGTCTTTACCCCAAACTAGATGGCTTGTATCAGCTTTACATTCAGCTCTACATCAGCCTTTAATGCACATTGTCAGTTTAGCCATCCCCCTACTTTTGGTTCTTAAAACTTTGGTTTCAAATTTGAGTCATAACGATTCCTTAAGAGTGTGAGTCATGTCAACTCGGAAAACACCGAGTGTCTTACTCGAGTTGTGTAAATAAGAGCGTTAGTAATCTGTTCGGTTTAGTGCATCCAGATGAGGTTCTTGTTATATTCCGTAAAAACTTGATTTCAAATATACTTTTCTCGCATGACCTAGATTTATTTACTGGAAAACTATTCTGAAGTGTTCTCTGTTTTAAAGTTTTCTACGCTGAGGTTAAAAATCAATTTCATGATACCATAAAAACTTTAAGAACAAACAACACTAAGGAATTATTTGACAATTTTTTCACCAAATACTTGGACGAAAATAAAATTTTACATCAGCCATGTTGTGCTTATACACCCCAACAAAATTGGGGTGGCTGTGTGTAAGAACTAATATTTAGTAGAAATTCCTAGAGCCTTGTTATTTCATTGCAAAGTTCCAAAATGTTTTTGGGGATGCCGTTTTAACTGCTTGCTACTTAATTAATAGATTACCTTTATCTGATTTAGCAAACAAAACTCATGTTTCCCTTTTATACCCAGACAAAGGCACTTTTCATTTACCTCCCAAGATCTTCGGATCTCTATGCTTTGTTCACAATCATAATCCTTAAAGAACGAAATTAGATTTGAAGTTTCTTAGGGGTATTTTCTTGGACATTCTAGAACTCAAAAAGGATACAGGTGCTATTGCCATTTTTTGGATCAATATATTGTTTTAGCCGATCTAACCTTATTTGAACACAAACCAAGACATGTTGCTTTTGCAAAATACTTCAACATTTATGATTATGACTCCCTTATTGTTCAAAAAACCACTGCCAATGTTCGAAATTATTGTACAAGCTGATTTTCCATCAAAGTTTGCAGAGCCTATCCATGTTTATACAAGATGTATTGCTTCGAAATCTATGCTAGAGTCCAAATCTAACTATGAGCCCATAATACTAGCTAGTGAAAATGTGAACGTACAATTGAGTGCTAAGACTATAGATTATCTTCCTATTGCCCTTCGTAAGAGTAAGAGATCTTGTTCTCAATATCCCATTTACACACTATGTTTCTTACTCTTTGTTATCTCCGTCATATCATTCTTTCGTATCTTCTTTGGATATTTACTCAGTTCCTAGGATCTTGTGAGAAGCTCTATCTTATCTGTGTTGGACGGTGACAATGTAAAAAGATATGCCAAACTTTAGAGCAAAATGGGACTTGGGATTTTGTTTCACTATTTTACCAAGGAAGAAAGCAATTGGCTGCAAGTGAGTTTATATAGTCAAAGTAAATCCAGACAACTCTCTAGCTTGCCTCAAAGCTCGACTAATTGTGAAGGTATACTCACAGATATATGGACTAAACTATATTGATACATTCTCTCTGGTAGCAAAAATGACATCAGTCTACATTTTTATGTCATTTTTCACTTGCTATCGCTAGCCACTGCATTAGTTGGATATTAAGAATGCGTTCCTTAATAGCATTCCTGAGCATTCCTGATGAGGAGGTTTACATGGATCAATCATCGGGTTTTGTTGCTCATGACGAGTTTGATAAGTCTTGACAGTTGAAGAGATCACTTTATGGCTTGAAACAATATTTGATTGCTTGGTTTAGACGTTTTGTAGCAATTGTCCAGATGTTTGGTCTTCATCGAGCTTAGAAAGATCACTCGGTTTTCTGGAGATTTCATGGTGAGAAACAGATCATTTTGGTTGTATATGTTGATATTGTGATCGCTAGAGGTGATACATAGGGCATTAGTCATTTAAAGAAGTATCTATAGCAACAGTTTTAGATCAATGATCTTAGATCCTTAAAATACTTTCTGAGGACCAAAGTGGGAAGATCGAAGAAAGGAAATTTTTTTATCTCAAGGAAAATATACGCTTGATATGCTGTTGAATGTCGAGATGTCAGAATACAATAGCATTGATTCACCTATGGATGATAATATCAAGTTACTACCAGATTAGGGAGAGACTGGACGATCCTGAAAAACAATCACTAGACTAGATATTGCGTTTCCTGTTAGTATAGTTAGTTTCTCTCGGCACCAAGGATACCCACATAGAAGTTGTAAAAAGGATTCTCAGGTATTTTAAGAAAACTCTAGGAAAGAGAGTTTTCTATTCAGATAGCGGTCACATGAGAGTTGCAGAATTCTCATATGCAGATTAGGCAATCTCTTCTGTGGGCAGACTATCAACTACTGGATAATGTATGTTTCCTAGAGGAAATATGATATCGTACAAGAGTAAAAAAGTAGAGTGTAGTCTTATGATCTGCAACTGAATCAACGTATCGAGCCATGACGAATCTGATTTGCGAGTTGATCTAGGTTAGAGATATATTGATAGAAATTGGTTATTCTCCCAAGTATCCCATAAGTTTATATGATGATAATAAGGCTGCCATTCACATAGCTGAGAACCCGGTGTTCCATGAGAAGATAAAAACATATAGACTGATTGTTGTTTGGTCCATGAGAAGATGGAGCAGGGGGTCATTAGAGCCAAAGACATATCATCAAAGCATTAACTTGCAGATATTCTCACAAACTTGTTAGGAGAACATGATTGAATTTTATTTGTGATAAATTAGGATGTATGATATGAATGCTCAGCTTGAGGAGTGTTAGTTGTTTCTTTGTGTGTGTTTAGTCCCACATTGGTTAGTGACAAGTCTCTTTGTGTTTATGCTCCTATAAATAACATCCAAGAGGGAGAACTAGTATCCTCTTTGATTACCCTTTCCACACATACAGGCGAAAGGGTTTGACTGAATAGAGCTAATATTTATTATCAACATTTCTTCTTTTGGTTCACTTAGTAATGTTCCTACATTCCAAAAATTACTAGCCTTGCAACTTTTTAGTTCCTGCTCCTCTCTTCATCTCTGGTCACCAATCAAAGAATGAGCAAACATCCTTTCTCCGAAACGGGAGTAATTGCCAAGAGCTTACTCTGGTTGTATGTTGTATTTTGAATCCTCCTTGCAGTAGGTAGGCCGCACGAAGAAATAAAGGAACTTTTCATTTGAGTTGCATGAAGATGATTTCGTAGAGCAAACTACAGAGAAGTAATTGGTAAAAGCATTATGAATTGTCCAATTTCAGTAAAATCTCAACAAATTTCATCGCCGATTCGTAAGTTTTAGGATAGGCTAAGATTGCTCATAGCTAGCTTTTAAATCTACTCCGAAAAAATTATCAGAATTGCAATGAGTTCGATAAACTTAACTATGTTGTAGCCATCATGAAATATAAATAATTACCTAATAGGAAGTCATAGTGCAACAAAATTAAATCTGCAGCTTGTTATAACTTGGCGCCTATCTGACATGTGATTACGTTAATGTGAAGTTAATCTTTAGGAAAATTATGTCCTTAACCATAAGCTGTGTTTACTTATGTCATCCTTTGTATCATGTCTTAACTTTTCATGTAATCCTTATAGTGTAGGATCCAATAGAGTGGCTAATTCATATAATCTAGCTCTGAGGTATAGTTGGAAACTCTGTTATAGGTGTAGTTATTTTTCATTTCTTTCAATGTTGAAAATGACGTTCTTAGATATCCTTTACTAGTATTTAGACCCGTGCAAAGCACGGTTTCTAAAAGATTTTGTCCTCTGGCTTCACTCTATCTGCCATTTTGATTCGTCACAACCCAAAATCCTCAAATAATGATGGTTTTGTTAGATAATCGAGCTTAAGTGAAGATCCTTCAAAAGCTGACTTTCTTGCAAAATCAACTTCATTTGCTTCCGGAAAAATCTACCAAATCATATTAAGATTGTAGATTAAATAATCGTTACTGAGAGAGCCTGTCTGAACTTTACCCTTTCATGTTGTCTCAGTTAGCATACTACATTTACAAGTGTTACCATGAACAAAAGTACCAAAATTAGAACATGATGCAAAAGCTTACAATTCTTGTTCTGGCAATTTTCTCTTAAATTATGAAGAGATCACAGAATTCTCGAATGAGCTACATGCTTCTAGTCATTTCTATTCCTCCTTCACCATCACCTTTTTTCCCAAAAAAATTTCAATTTTATATCACAATATGAGGGTTCTGAAAAAAGAAATCAGGATAGAATAAGAATTAGCGAACCTGATACAGACTCCAAGCCTGCAGTTGGAAATTCAATCTCCTGCATATTCATACGTCGTGTTATATTATATAGCTTTGATATAGTTTGTTAGCTACTTCTCCTTCAAAAGAGTACAGGATAATGTTCATCTATTGCTTTCAAGCAATTTAAAAAATCAAATACAAAAAACATTAATCACTGATACTAATTTATTTGCGGATCATTTAAGCAAACACCTAGCAAGCATAAACTTATTAAAAATCACATGGGTTTTGTAGAAGCACGGGATAATGCTCATCTAAACCAAGCAACAAAATTTGAGAGGAAATTTAACATTAGATCATTGAGGGAGGAAGAACTCTAACAAAGCCTAGAATTCCATAGGAACTGGGATCGGATCTCACCTCTGAACTTGACCAAATACGCAGCCACCATCAAATCTAAAGCTGAAACCCTAGAAGCGGACGCTCTGGCAAAATCTAGACCACCAAGATGCTCAAGGTCGAAGATGGTGAAGAAAATCAATGGCGGCGACCAGATCGAGGGCGAGTCGTTTGAAAACGACAAAGCGGGAGAGTGAGAGAGAGTGGGAGGGAGGGAGGGAGGGGGGGAGACCGAGTGGAGGCAAGAGAGGGAAAACCCGAATGGGTGAAGGTAGAGGAGGCGGAGCCTGTAAAAAGAGAGAAGGCTTCGCTGGCCCGTTGGAATCGACAAACATAGAGTGTCTTGTGTAACCGTCACCCACGTTTCAAATTTTAAGAACTTACGAAAACCGATTTATGGGCTTCATATTTTTTTAAAGGGATGAGGTGGATCCTTCTGATTGGGCCAATTATGATTTACTGTTCATAGAAGCTTTTCATTGTTCTCCTTTAGTAATAAAGAAGTAGATTTCACATTCTTATACGCTACGTATCATGCTTGACTAATTTGTTGGTAAACATGGATGACAAACACGTCGAAGCATATGTGTTTTCATTAATTTATAGTTTTCCTTTTATTGCATACTTCATGTTTTCTGTGGTTTTGTTTCTTATTTCTCTGCAATTTTTATTTTTTATTTTAACATGTATTTTTTATTTGTAGCTCCCTCTACGAACGATTCAAATAAGACCTTCTATGCTATTTTGACATACATTTTCTAAAATACATGTATTTTAACTTGTTATTTTTTTTGTTTTATTTTAACATATCTTTTTAATTTGTAGCTCCCTCTACGAACGATTCAAATAAGACCTTCTATGCTCAAGGTTAATAGAGATCCTAATTTCATGTTGGCTTCGCATTGCAACTCATTAGAAGTTGTTGGAACCAGGTACACATGTAAAGGCTAAATTGACTTGAACAAGATCATGATGCTTTCTCATCTTTTCAAGGTGGTTAGTTGTGTATGATAAGAAACATGTTATTATTTTTTATTCTTTTCTTAGTTGTTAAAGAGCACTTGGTTGTTTGACCATCTTTCTAGTTGGGTTTCAGCACATGCGATGGCTCTAAGTATGAAATTTTAATATGGTCGAGAAAAGGCTTGGATATCTTTCTGCATAATATTTACAGCTAAAAGCTGTTGGGACAAATTGTTAAACAAGATAATCATCTTCAAAAGCGGATTAACTAATGAAACATATGAATCTAAAAATATCATATGCTGATCTCTCTATAGGTTACTGTATAGGAAGGAGAAGTGTCCCTCGTAAAATGTCAAAAGTAGGATGAAATGAAAGGAGAAAAGTGTCATAATTTGTTGTTTATTTCCTGCTAGTAATTATATTCTTTTTTAAGCTTTTTACATAGTTATGATTTGTGACATGGCAAATTGTCCATGTTACCTTCTTTAATACTTGTAGTTCTTGGACTATGGTTGTCCTTTTAGCTAAACAAAGAGACTTGGGAGGCAATTAGGGTAGATCTTCGTTATGGAAGCAATCTTTAGATCATTGGTGACTCCATATTTATACAGAGCATATATAAAACCTATCACGACTCCATATTTATACAGAGCATATATAAAACCTATCACGCAATGTCATCCGTAAAATCTAAAATAAAAAAAAACTTAAACCAAATTGGTGTTTATGGCCAACCGATTCAAATTGTTTGAACCATCAAAAAATCTATGTTAGGTGCAGACGCAACATTGGGTGCAGGTTCAGATTTGCTTGAGCTCTATTTGAAAACACACTCATCTTGAGTGGTAGAGCAATTCTAATAATTGCAAGTGCACGGTGTATTTCTGTAGTAGTGGCAAATACTATTCGTATGTCACAAAAATTCAATACTAAAAATCAGGAGCTCTAATGTAATCTAGGCAGACTAAAACTATACTTGAGAGCAAATAATATTAGTTTATCTACTCTAAAGTTAACAGAAGTTAAAAGAACTAAAGAAGTAGTTACAGATGAAGAATAACAGTAAAACATTATCAATAATACCAACAACATCTAGGTTTACATCCACTAGATTTTATGAATCATAAGCACAGTCTTATTTATCTCTTGTTTCTATTAAACCAACATAAATACATTATATTCTTAAGGAATGAATTATAAAGATTTTAATTAGTAATAACCCATTAATATGCGAATAATAAATTATCGAAGGTGAGATCTAATAATAAATTATCAAAGCATGATAATCCATAATGATCTTGGATAAATATCAAACTTTTGTTCTCATGTTGCATGTATTAAATATTAACCATGAAAATTATAGATGAATTATAATAGTATGAATCAACTTAAGCAAATTCTAAATCTAGATTAGTAATCTAGATATAATTATTTAACAACACATGATATATAAAATAAACAAAGACATAATAATCAAGCACATAAATTAATAAAGAAAATAGAGAAAAGGAAAAAGAATTTTTCTTAATAAAGATATCTCGGCTAGGGCCATCCAAAAAGCACATGACCCGGACTCGACTCAGCTTTAGCCTGGTCAAAACCCGATACGGGCCCGGCCAAAGCCCAAAAAACATGGCCAGCCCGAATTTTGTGCTAGGGTTTGAGTCGCTTCACCCGAATTTAACTCGGACCCAACCTTGCCCGGATATGGTGCATCTTTGTATTTTTAATATAAAAATATAGAAAAACATGGATTCTGAGTTTTGAACACCGACCCTCTCTATGGGAGCTTTAAAGCTTACCAAATAGCCAAACTGATTTCTTTTGGTGTGGTTTCTGTTATTATTCTATATTAATACATATACCTCTAGTATATATTAGTATATACTAGCATATACTTATTAGTACATAAGCATATATCTATTAGACTTAACACTTGTAAGTATATTGGTATATACTTATAAGTCTGCTGATATATATAATCTTATAGTATACATGAGTATAATAATATAATTGTAAGTACTATTATATATAAGTATATTATATCTAAGTATATATGCATGTCATATAAGTAACTCATAGGTATAATATAAGTATATGAAAAATCCATATATAGCTATGTGATACATATATATAGGTATCTATACTTATATATATTATTTATATACTTAAAGTTCTTACTTTAAGTATATACATATATATACTATGTAAGTATGTATATTTATAACTATGTACAAATGCCAAATGAGTACATAAGTATAAATATGTATACGTGATAATTATATTATATAGTTATAGATATTTATACTTATAAGTATATAGTTATAGATATTTACCCTAAGTGATTTTTTTTGCAAAAAAATTATAATTTTTTGAGATAAAAGAAAATAAAAATCAGCCTGGCTTGGAACTTCCCAGACCCGGGCCCGACCCGATACATTTGAGTTTGAGTCTGGGCAGGGCTTGTTGCTTGGCCCGGATGGATACCCCTACTCTCAGCTACTGTCCTATCTTTGAGTTAAAAAAAAATTAAAGTCTGCTGTCGATTCTCCATAGTCAACAATGTGCAGTTCCTTTTATAAACTAAGGAAATGGTTACAAAGTTTATATCTTATCGCAATATTTAAATATATATGTAAAATCATATCCAATTGTTTTATTTGCCAATGCCTTATCCATTGACTTGCACTTGAAATCTCATGCACATCCGTCTCTTCCCTATTTGATGAAAATTGGACTTTAGCCCTTCTAGTTTTATGCATGATACCCATTCCACCTCATCCACTAGTAGCTAGTTCATATACAATTTCATCATCACGTGCACATACTAAATCAAGGCATCTTCATTTTTTAAGGAATTTTCACTTTAGTCCTTGCAATCTACAACACGAACAAAAATAAACCTTCAACTAGCATTATTCACTATATTTGTAAAATAAAATAAATAAATAATGGGAATAAAAATTATGCATATGAACCAAACATTGACCCAATATCCTCCCGCGGTATCTAAATGCATATGTCTATGTCTATGTATATGTGTGTGTATACGATACACATGCATACAATCATATTATATATATATGTCTGTGTGGGGTAGAATTGGTTCCACGGACCAAATTTAGTCATTTGTAGTGATGTGACCAATTCTCATCTACTCATTTAATACGTGAGTAATCTAGTGTTTCCAAAATTGCATGCCTCACTGCGCCTCATGTCCATGTGATGCGGCACGGTGGCAAAGCGCCATGCATCTGATGAAACAACGCCTTTTGTGGCTCGTAAGCATCTCGACTTTGCACAGGGTGCTTGTAGTACATAGCCTCATATTTTTGTTCATTAACATTTCAATCATATATGGCTAAGCATTAGTAAGACTAAGATTAGCTCTCAAATCCATGTTGGGACATTCCTACTCATTATATTACTCAGATGGAACATCTATTGGAATTCATAGCTTAGCTCACTGTAGTTCAAATTCTGAAACCACTCATATGCAGAAAATAAATGTACTGTATTACTCATCAAGCGCATACACATATCAAACAAGCGCGCGCTAACAAATTCCAAATCCTAACATACTTAAATTAGTTATAGTTATACGTTATTTGAGGTTAAATAATAATATTGGTCAATTTATGGTGCACGACAAAATCACAACTCGACAATTCAAAACGGGATTTTGAAAATAAACTCATCAAAATGACCAAATGAAATTTCACACATTATAAA